TCAACTCTTGCGGACGACGCTCCCGTGGAGTTTGTCGTACCGGGACATGGTGAAGATTACATAGATCTCGCGCATACTCTTCTCAGTCTTCGCGTGATATTGCAAACCCCCGCAGCGGTTACTCCGGCTGTAGAGCATAAAGTAAGGCCTGTAAATAACTTTTTACATTCCATGTTCAATCAAGTTGATGTGTTCTTCAATCAAAAGCTTGTGTCGCCTCCGAACAATGCTTACGCGTATCGAGCCTATTTCGAGACATTGTTGAATTATTCTTCAGAGGCAAAATCCTCTCATCTTACCATCTGTTTATGGGATAGCGATCCTCCGGGTCTGATGCATTCAGAAGTAATTGCACCGAATGACAACCCCGCTCTCACGAGACGTATAGAGTATTTCAAAAATAATCGTGCTGTGGATCTCATAGGACATCTACATTGCGANGTTTTCAATCAGGATAAATTCTTGATTAACGGTGTGGAAATGCGTCTAAGACTCATCCGCTCGAAGGATTCTTTCTCATTCAGGATTCTGTCTCATGGAATCTACGCCGCAGACAAGAGTTCGTATTGTAGACGCCACCTTGATCATGAAGAGAGCAAAACTAAGCGCTGGAGTTTTATTAGCTCACGCTAAAATGCTGAGCAAAACCACTGCAAATTATCCTCTCACAAGAGTTGAAGTTAAATCGTTTACGATCCATAGAGGTGTGGTGGGAGAATCAATTGACAACGCCATACTCGGACAACTGCCGAAGCGAGTGATAATCGGTTTTGTCGAAAATAAGGCGTTTAACGGCGATAATAGACTTAATCCGTTTATTTTTAAAAACTTTAATATAAATTTCTNGTCGCTTTACGTCGATGGAATGCAAGTTCCTACTAGACCGTTACAACCTTTTTTTTCAAGTGACTCTCCTCTCTACATTGAGGCTTTTCATACTCTTTTCTCAAGAACGGGTATTCATTTTCTAAACGAAGGCAATGCTATAAGCAGAGATGCTTATGCNCACGGATACACACTCTTCGCTTTTGATTTCACACCCGATTTATTGGCCAATTGCGTCGAACATTGGAATCTCGTGAAGCACGGTAGTTTGCGAATTGAAGCACGGTTCGAAAAAGCTCTCTAAACGACTATTAACTGTCTTGTTTATGCGGAATTCGACAGTGTTTTGNAAATCGATTCTTCGCGCCAAATCATTGTTGATTATAACGGATAATCACATTCCCGCACATGCGTAAAACCAAGATAATTTTCNCCCACTACATTTTTCCCACTTTTCCACGCCTTTTGTCGCAAGCGTTTTGTGGAGAAATTTTAGTTTCGTTCTAGTCTCCGATATCTTCGCTTCGTTTTCACGATGTCCGAGTATAAAGGTGCTGTGATCATAGAAATGCAAGGATTTCGCGGCGTCGTGTGTGAAGTTATTCCAAAAGAAGTGGCGTCTGTCGCGGTAGACCGACCGATTTTCGGAAACTGGATCTTGATGCCTCCGTTCTCGTTTACCGAATTACCACAAAAATCAAAACGATGCAACGATTGGCTTACACGAATTTATCACGGTATCGAATGGTTTGACGGTGAAACCAATCTCAAACATCT